GGTAAGAACACGTGCTCAGATTGCACCTGCAGTTAAGAATAAGAACGCACGTCTGAGGTGTACCACTGCTGCTAAAGTTAAAAACAAGAGCACATTCAACAGCTGCGAGATAAGAACATTCGAACGGGGAGGGGGGGACGGGCGGGGGGGTGATCCAAGTATTGGATTTGGCAGGGGGGTAGGTGTGCCGAAGGTGGGTGCATACATACACCTCGGAATCTGCAATTTTTGCAGAGGAGAGGGTGGGCACTGTACACGTCGCGCCCCCTTGGCGGCTGCCAGGCCACGCACGTGCAGCGGGCCACGAGTTCCCTGCCGCACCAGGGGATCATGTCCCTGTCCAATCCCTTATCCCATGGGTTGTTGAAAGATCTTGGCAAACTTGCAGAGTTGAAAGGACGGGGTCTGATTCTTGACCGTCACTTCGAGACGATAAAAACACATGTGAAGGCGGGAAACTCCGTTGCGAAGGAGCGGTGGGACGCCATCGAGAGCGCGTGGGGGTTGAAGCAGAACGGTATCTTCGACGAAGGAGAGTGGATCGCGCAGATTGATGGTGAAATCCAGGGCATTACCAGCAGCACCCGCCTGTCCTTGTCATCCCAACAAGATGCCAGCAGCGCACGAGGTGCTGCTGCACCTTCTCAGCACCCACCTGCTGCTGCAGCGGATACCGCGAGGAGGAAGGTGGATCGAGGGAAGCACGCCAGGGAGAGAGCTTCGAAAGGCACTTTAGGCGACAACATCTGGAACGCGTTCTCGATTGGCAGCGGACAACCGGTGAGTTCGGTTACCTATGTATCCGACGCACGCTGTTGCTTTGTTTTGCTACACAGGTGTTTTTTTGTTTTGTTTTTTAATTCCCGATAGTCTAGACTAAGCAAGAAAAAAAACGAAAAACAAAAATAGGTAAGTTTATTAGTCTAATGTGACCCAAACGAAACAGACGTCATCTCCCCACTCTCTCGTGTGATTCACGATAATCTTTTCAAGGAAGTATTCGTTCAGAGTGCATAGATACTTTTGCCAGCGGCATCCACGGAAGTTTGAATTCAACAGCGCCACAACTAAGAGCGACTGACACGTCACATGGCTCGTTGAATCCCCTACACGGCAATTCCGCCCTTTCCCATCGCACCGAGCAGATTGAGCGGACTCGTGGTGGAGTGAAAGAGTTCGTATCCGGTATCAGCTTCCCGCCTCCGGCCCCGGAGTCCCGCCGATCCTGCCTTCACTGTCCCATGACCATCGTGAACGAGCAAGGCCTTGGGATCCACGTGAGAACGCAGCACAGCAGTGCAAACATGTCGAACGGCGTGCGGCTGCGGCGGATGCTATGGAAGAATCTCGAAGGGCGTGTCCTGCCGTGGGAAGGAGCCGGGCCTGGGCGTTGTTGGCACGTGAAGGTCGATGATGCGACGGGGGCGGCTTCGTTTGTCCTCCAGCGGAAGCGCTTTCTCGATCTAGACTTGGAAAGCGACGGCTTTATGGACCGCGAAACCAAGGAAACTCGTGGAGCTCCCAAGCGCAGGCGATACGACTATAGGTTCAAAGCCAATGCTGTCAACCAGCTGCGCATCCTCGAGGACAACGCCGCGGACCTCTGGAAGGAGGAGGAGCGCACGCCTCTTCAGTACTTAGAGGATCGTCTCAAGGTTCACTACAGCAACATCGTGAAGTGGGCCAAGGACGAGAAGGCCATAGTCGCGGCGGCAGCAGACGACGTGAAGAAGAGCCTCCTCGCCAAGCAGCAGTCTAAGCGGTGGTTTCCTGAGGCAGAAAAGAGGCCTTACAAGATGTTCGTGGAGCGTCGTAAGAGGAAGCTGAAGGTATCGACCCTGTGGCTGACGACCACGTGCCAGAAGCTCGTGCGAGACATGTATCCCGGGGACCAACGAGCGGCGGCGTTCCGCGCATCCTTCAGGTGGGCACGAAAATGGGCCGAGAGGCACAACCTGTCCAAAAGAGGTCGGATCAACCTCAAGAACAGGTCTGTTGAGGAGCGCCTACCAAAGATCCAGCGCTTCCACCGACTGTTTCGCAAGCTCCTGCAAGAGCCGGTACGGTACAGGGCGCCCGATGAGTCGGACGTATCGGCGATTACGACGGTCGCAGAGAGGGAGTCCAGAGTTCCCAAGTATGGCCAGTTCCAGCTCTGGGAGCGTTGGAATGTGGATCAAGTGCCTTTGGCATTCGTAAACGGGCTGCTCGATACGTGGGAGGAGCGAGGTGCGAAGCGTGTCGCCATCTCATAGCCCTTTCCTGGCCTAGAGAAAAGGCAGTGCACCATGCAAGTCATCTTTGGTCCGGGTGAGAAGACCTGCGAATTTCGGTGATTTCCGAGGCACGGGGAAGGGGATCTCGCCGGTGGAGAAGGCCGCGTACCACAAGGACGTGGACGTGTTTTTCCAGGAGAATGCTTGGGCCGACCAAAAGTTCTGTATGGAGTGGGCTAAGAGGTCCTACCGCAAAGGCCTGATGCGCGGGCGGGGTGAGCTTTCAAAAGCGAGGTCCATTCTTATCATGGACAACTTGCACGCGCAGACGACGGACGAGTTCAAGGAGTATCTTGCGAAGGAGTGCAACACTCTCGCCTGGTATGGCCCTTCGGAGTGCACGGACGAGGTGCAGCCAGTTGATGCAGGAGCCGGACGATTTATCAAGGTGGAAGCTGGGAGGCAGATGGACATGTAGCTCGAGCAGTCGGACAACCTCGAGAGGTGGAAAACCGCGGCGCTGACAGCTTCTGATCGGCGGGTACTGATCACTCAGTGGATTGGAGCGGTCATGGCAAGACTCAACAGCCAACATGCGTTCCGATTCCGCCATTTCGAAAAGTGCGGGATGGCCATGGCTGTGGACGGCTCAGGCGATGATCGGATCACTTTGGAGGGTTTGGACAAGCCGTACACCTTCGCAAACGATGAAGGCTGTAGCGAGGACGAAGAAGGTTTTGAGAACGGCAGCGATGAGCCTGAGGGGCGGGGAAGGAGGGCGATGGACGTGAGACGGTCGCGGAGGGCGCTGATTCCAGCGATGATGAAGACGACGGCGGTAAGTTTGATTTGCACTATACCCAATCTTTGTCATTTCCTTGTTGA